GCAAATTTTCTAAACTTTTACTCCTCCACCTTCCTAACAGGCTTCTTTTCTACAGCACCACGTGAGTGTTTATCCTTCCTGCTCTCTCCTAAGGCCAGTAATAGTGTTACAGTTCTAATCATAGGGCATGTCCATTAGAGGGTTTTTTTCAGTGCATTTTTTCCGTAACAGTATAAACTGCTCAGCTGCATACTAGCTGCGTATCAAGCTCTGATCAACCTTCCTTAAAAAACAAACAACCCTGAAAAGTTGGAATTAATTATACTGGTCTAAGTTTTGTGAGAACATATTCCTACTCTAGTTCAGAAGCAGTATAGCTACATCATTCCTTGTTACTATTCCTTTGCTTCATAGAGGGATCTGACTGTTTACAGGATGCCTTCCAGAACTCCACACTATCCCCATTCAATGCAATTAAATGTTAACACATATCCAGGTAATGAGGCTTTTCTACAGCATTCATATATTTCATATCACATACTGGAAAACATCAAAAACATTAGGAAAAACAACCAAAACCCCAGTCTGGGCATGTTGAAACTGCATACATTTGCTCAGCAGACATCCCCTTTCCCCCCATACAAGTTTTATCCTAATACCTCTGATAATCACCAAAATAAAGAGGCAGGTTCACAAAAATGTGAACAGCCATGGGGGTCACCAAACAGGGAAGGACCAGTTCAAATCCCAACCGTGCCTGAATCGAAGAGATATGTTTAACTTATATATACTGTCTCTGACAAAGTTGCTATTTCAGAAAATTAAACTATATGCATTTCTCTGATGTCCTGAAACCTTGGACAGCCCAGCTAGACAGACACATCAGCATCAGTACTGACTTTTATAGAGGGGAAGAACCTCAACACATAAATCCAGAAGTCAGAATGTTTATCTGAATGATAAATCAAAATCCATCTCCTGTCTGAAGGCAAAACTGTGGAAACAGTAATTTAATTGGCAAAATTTTAAAAAGAAAATACCCTGTTTCAAAACAACTGTGAACTACACAGCATCAACAGCAGCAAAAGCAAGAATGTAGCCTGGTGTCTATTGCTAATAGAACAAGACTGTGCTGCACACCATGGAATATGACAAATGGCAGTGTTTGAAAGTGCAAAACCTAAGAGAGCATCAGAGAAGCACACAGGAGCTGAATCCACGTCCATCTTGTCAATATTACCTACCAAAAGTAAAATAATCATCCCTAAAACCACACATCTCCATAATCAGGCTTTCTGCCAATTCTGTACCTTTGTTATACAATAAAATATATCAACTTTCAAGACTACTTCATGTAAGAGACAGAACATACTGCATATTGTCACAGACTTCTGTGAGTGAAATAAGGCAATAAGGTAAACAGATGAAGTAAATGTTGTTATATCCACCTGACTGTCCCATACATTGGTGTATTACATACACTGACTCATGCCTGACAATAAATTAGTAGAAGTAATTTGAATTTTACCATAAATTAAAGCAGTAGCTTCTAGTCTGGGGAGCATTGGAGACCACATTACCTAGACACAAAGGCATAAAAATCAGTAAAAAGTAAAGTTTCCTAGAAGAGAAGGATTTATCACCTGGATAAACTTGTAGTTTTCCTTCTCAGAGACAGTTTCAAGATTCTTCAAGCTTGCACAGTAGTCAAGCTAAAGAGAAACACACACAGTATCATTAAGTGGGCTGCATGAAAGTAAGTTAACTCAGATCCAACCTAATTACTAGAACGTTTTGTCACATAGTGACAAAGTGAAAATTTATTTCAAAAGAAAAGCTATTTTGCAAGCAGACATGATGAAGCTTTAAAAACACAACTATTAAAGATACTCTAACTGTAAAAATTCTTAAACAGAAGTTTAGAACTTCAAAAGCTTCCTCTTTTTTTAAATAATTATTTGTAGTGGGCACAGGACTGTAAGCACAAACAACAGCTGAATTCTTTTTTCCATAGGAACAAATGGGTAGTCTAACAAAAAATTAATAAATAACAACAATCCATACAAATTTCAACATGCTATAGATTGCATTAAAATCATTCAAAACAGTTTTCCATACTGAGAAAGAAAACAAACTACTTACCTTATCTAGATTTATAATCAGATAGTTTGGGTAGTTTTTCACAAGAGACACAACTACATGTGAAGCACTGTAGGATAGAAGACAAACATTTTACAATTATACAGCTAGCTTTAAGGTAACAAAGAGATAACAAATTATTAATAGGTCTAGCAATATCAAAAGGATTTGGGGAAAAGGGGTCTGTACTCGAGACAGGAGAAAGAGAAATGGACAGATTTTTTTTATTATTCTATTAATAATGCCCATAACTGCATGCTATTCTGAAACTAAAAATCAGATTAAAATGCTGTAATAAAGGAAAGCAGCACTGCTCACTGCCACCTAAAAAAACCCGCAACCCAAATTAATACATGCCACGTTCAACTGCCATTCTAAAGTACTTGTATGTTTATACATTAGACATTAGGGAGAACTAGAGTCATCTCTCTTAGCTCACAATACTCTCAACTTTCCAACACTGCTGCTAGGTGTAAGAAGAAATGACAGCCAGACTACCAGGTGGCATTTCTCTTTCTTAGTCCTGTGTACAACAAGCTCACACCGAGAGTTCAGGTTTAGCAATGCTTTTTCACATCTCCATCTCCCCAAGCTGGGAGGTGCACACAGACATCTAATCCTCTCAGAGCTTCAGACTCTGAGGACTCAGGCTTAAAATGGACCTGAACTTTCACTGCCTCGAGCAGAGCCCGCAGCACTGGGGGTTGGAGATGACAAACAGCAGTTGGCTCAAAGCACAGCCCCCCACCCCAGTCCGGTTGAGGATGGGCACGGCTCCCTCTGGCTCGCTCCCTCAGCGCCACGACACGGGAAGAGACAGATGCAACCTCCAAGGCGAAGTCAGTCCTACAGAAGGCTGCGCCCACCGCAGCCTGCGCTTCAGCGAACACGATCCGAGCCAGAGGCGCCACTGAACCGACCCATGACAGACCCAGGGGAGACGGGCAAGCGAGGCGGC